TATACATACATACATACATACATACATTTTTTGGCTCAGCGCATTAGTTTTAATTGTCACTGATGGGAATAATGAATTTTGTCCAACAACAGTAAGTGAAAATAGAGCTGAAGCCATGAAATTCCCCAACGATTAACGAAATTATTACTTGAAAGGAATATTACTAATGTACCAAGAGCTAAGGCCTGAGGGTGATCGAAAACGTAAACCAATCGCCACTCTCACCAATATTGAGAAACCACGTGGTTCGTAAAGATACGAAATATTTTTGTCATATTTTTAATTGTACCTAATTATATAAACCAGCCACAAGCAAGACTTTTGGATAGAATATGAAAAGTTTTCTTACCAAAGTGCCATTTGCGCGAAGATTGGAATTTATCTTCTACTCAAAATTCAATGGTTAAAAAATGGATTGATTCTCTGTTTTCAAGTAGAAGATAATTTTAATCTTGCAGAAAATAACACTTGAGAGTACACTTTTGAATTTTTATTTGTTAGTTTAAGTTGCAGATGGTTTATAAAATCGACCTCATAGCACCACTTTAGTTACGAAATAACTCTTTATCAGAATTAAATACACCAATAATACAACGGATCTCCACGATTCATGTAGTTCCTTAATTACGGCGAGAGTGGCGGCTGGTTTACAATATCGATTGCCCTTGGGCCTCAGCTCTTGGTCCATTATAACTGATCAATAGTACCGTTTTATGAAACGATCATAAAATTTTTTTAGATTACTGGACGAAAACAATGATAAGATATCAGCAGACACACTAGGTTTAATAAAAAATCATTACGCAATACCTCACAACACTATTGGCAACCCATACATAAATAACATCACGGAGAGTAAGTAATACAGAAGACATAATGAAAAAGATAGAAACAGACATAGAGAAAGTAAAAGCTATCAGCAATATACAAAAAATTGATAAAACACTGATTGTAGCTAATCACTGTGCGCATGCACATTACTTGCGTCCCAGTAGCGTCAGCGTAGCATACATTGATACCCACAACGTATGTTTCGAGAGAAATATTCATCCAAATTTAAATGAGTGATTTAATTGCAATATATATTACATTTAAAATGTTATGTGAATATTTAACTTTGTTATAATATTACGTGAAAAGATTCTCGTACCCGTGCAAAGTGTACTACAATAACCTTACGAAGCCCGATACAGTAACCAAAATTAATATAAGAGCCAATTTTGAGTGTACCTGACCATCACAACAACAAAAAAAGGTCACTTTTCTTGTATTTTTTTTTTACCACGTGAGTGATAGCAACTCGAGAATCATTTAAGTTGGTATCTCATTTAAAATATTCACATATACCACCAAACCAAAGCTATCGTGAAGTGAAATCTTCGCACCGTTAAGAAGTGTAAAAGCGCCTTAATATTTAAACGTACGACATGGAGATACACCTTATACTAGTGCTCGCAACTATTTTATCTGAGCCGGCTAATCCAAGCCGCCAACGCCACTTCTCAGGAGGGTATAAAAGGCCCAAGCCAGCCCATGTTAATCACTATTGCTATCAGCAACGAGTCTGGCATTATGACTAGGGAGCTCTGCTCTTCAAAGCGCTGTTGCACCTTAATACAGCGCAATAAAATACGAAGTTATACCTATATACTTGATTACTGCAAGCTGCATGCGAATAATAATGAGTGATTAGGCTGTAAAAATAACTGAACTTCAAAGACAAAATTATACATTAACATAAATTTAAAGTTAGAATCATAAATATCTGTTAATTATGGTGTATTAAATAATGTTTTACTCGCTTTTCTGAAAGTACATACCATTTTTCACTAGAAAAAAGAGCCAAAAATTGATATAAACAATTCATGTTTATTTGCAAAAGATAATTCTATGTATATTTATTCATTTGCTTGAATATCAATTTGCAAAAATTACTATATTTACGCAGTTGTGTACGTAAGGTGAGTCAAGCCCGTTTAAACATAGCCGTACTATTCTATAATAAAGTCCAGACGTGTGTTGACTGAACCTAGTGATGACTATATTCATAATTTTTATGATAAATATCATAGATGCATCACATATTATCTCAATTTTTCGCGAATTTTACTCACACACCTTTCCAGTCAATGTTATGGTAAAAAATGATAATACATTGGATGAAGAAAAAAAATTAAACAAGAATACGTCTTTTTTAAACTGCATTTTTCATGGTTTTCATAATTTTTTAAATAAATATTATCGGTACATTAAGCATTATTGAATTTTTTGCAAGGTTTTACTCACAGACCTTTACAGTCAATACAAGGGTTAAAAGTGATAATATAATAAGATTCAGGAGAAAAAAATACATGGAAATACGTATTTTGGACTTGCAATTTTAGTACTTTTCATGATCTTTATAATAGATAAACAATATGTACCACTGTAAACACGCGAATACCATTGTAAAAAGTTTCTTTTTTTACGCGCGGGAAAATCGGCTAAAAATTTTTTTTTACTTTTTATTACCACTCACTTTTCAGGAGTGTAAGCAAGCAATACATTTTGGTAAAGCACAATCGAGCGCTGAGAAAATGTTAACATCCACACTTATGAACATACATGGCTAGACATAAATATTTAGCTATTAATAGAAAAGATATTAATGTTATTAGTTGATGGGTAAGTATTATATGTAATCAGTCAAGTTATTATATATTGACCTCCACCAACTAAACTGCGCTATCTATATTTTTTTTACATTTTAATTTATAGAAACGTCACGCTTATTTTTATAGTGAAAATCGCTGGAGTGCGAAAAAACTTTGTCAATTAAAATTACAAAGCAGTGAAAAAAGGTATCCACTTTGGCCAGGAGTCGAACCTGGGCCTCCTTCTTGCCGGGAAGGCACATTAACCAACTTCGCATTAAAATTCAACTTAAAATATAAATAAAAATTTAGATAGCACAATTCAGATGGAGGAGGTCAATATATAATAATTTGACTGATTACATATATTTTTATATTATAGTGCTTTACGTCCGGCTCCTTTGATAAGGGCACTACACAGGGCACTTAGCACTTTGGAGAAGGAAGGGAAGAGGGATGGGAGGCCCTCCCATTACTGGGAGGGGGGGTAGGGGGAAATTAGGCAATTTTTGCTGCGAGAAGGTCGCCTAAACCCTCCTCGAGGAGCATTGCGTGGTGAAAAAGCACTTGTGAAAAATCACAGAGGTACTTGCCCGAAAAGTCGCACTGGCCGGGAATCGAACCACGGTCTCCCGCGTCCCAATCCACGACCTAGCCGACCGAGCCACCGCGCGCTCTACTGATTACATATAATACTTACCCATCGAGTAATAACATCAATATTCGAAGTTAGTTAACGCGCCTTGCCGGCAAGAAAGAGGTCCAGGTTCGACTCCTGGCTGAAGCAAATACGTTTTTTCACTGCTTTGTAATTTTAATTGACAAAGTTTTTTCGCACTCCAGCGATTTTCACTATAAAAATAAGCGCGACGTTTCTATAAATTAAAATATAAAATAAATATAGACAGCGCAATTTAGATGGAGGAGGTCAATACACAATAACTTGACTGATTACATATATTAATAAACAAGTTAATGCATACATAACTATAACAGCACTTCACTTTTAACAGCAAGAAACTGCACGAACGATTTACCTGCAAACACACGGAATCAACAAGAGAGATAAGACAGGATCACTCATGCAATGTAAGGCTTGTAAGATTCAACACAACGTAAGGGCTTAAAAGAATGTCTTGTAAAAGTTGCCAAGCTGCAAAAGGAGGTAGACAACTCAGAAAAAACTGCATACAATTTAATGCAGTACAATTACAACCAAATATCTTGCACTAGATACGGACCCCTTAGTAAGCTAAAAATTTCCTTTCTGTCAGCAGGAAATGAATCAAATAGCATTTATCATTGACAAATTTCTATAAACAATTACGATTTCTTGTATACAAACAGATATTTATTTTATGAAAAATTTAATGGTATATTTAAGATTGGAAAAAAATATTAACAGAAATATTTAAGGATATAGGATTTTTTTTTTTTTTTAAAGAACTATAATTTGAAAATTGTTCACTCTTATAGGTCAATATTTCAATATATCATCAACCACATTAAATGTAACCTATCTCTTACTGCTCAGATTTTTATTATATCGTAGTTGAACAAAAGGTAATAAATACAATTCGTTAATAGCAAACTACAAAACTCAATTTTTGCTATTATTGCATATTATAATGTTAATTTGTGGCTGTTTCTTAAGTTTAAAATGAGATAAAAATTAAGGAAAATATTTTTCACCTATTAAAAAAATGAAATCAGCTTTGCTAATACTTGTGCGTGATTGAATCAGTGTTTTTTCTGATTTCACAGGCCAAAAATTAAAGTTTCTGTTATGCTCTTAAGGTACCTTCACTGCAAGAAGAACTTGTGAGTGCTTATAGAGACAATTTGTGTTGTTGAGATCGTGAAAAACCATGAATTATTTCAAAATTTTGATGTACAAATTAAAAAGAAAAAACTGCGTAAAGGGTATGCTAGAATCCAAATTACTTATAAAAGAGTTTTTTTTTGTTCTATAAAATACTAAGCACAACAAAATTTTGTCAAACAAATTACAACATGATTACGCTTGTTGCCTCTTTTTGGTAAACAAGCTAAAGTAGTATCTCGAATCTATGGCACGAAAAGCACAATTTCCTTTTTTTTAACGATAATGTTGTTTTTCGACAAATTCTGTCGTGTGCAAGAAAATACGCATACAAACAAATTTATAAACGCGCAAATACGGACTTTTTTTCTTAATAAAATTATTTTTCTGTAAATTTTAGAAAATGTAATAGTAGTGTGCTATCTTAATTTAGACGTGATTTTTTATTTTACGTGTAAAGATAATTTTGTATCAATGCTGAAACTTCCTCTTTAAGAAAGCAAGGAAACATATTTCTAACCTAATGCAGTTGCTCACACTCTTACCTTTATTAATACGATCATATAACTCAGGCCTTTTAAACGGACGTAATGCTAAAAGGTGGACTAGTCGTTCTCTGAAAAATGAGAATCATTTAAAATGCAACTTAAGATTCGTGAAACATAAGATGTGCATTACTTACTTTAATGGTTTTCGCATAACTTCAGACAGTTTCTTTAAATTTTCATTGGGTATGCGATTGTTGACAAGATTATTTTGCACATACTTACAGGAAAACGAAGGCTTAAAAGAATTATGAACTGGATTAGTTGATATAAAGTCACGTTGTTTTCCTGCCAAATTTGAAGTCATTACATTAGACGAAGAATTAGACTTAATTTTTCCTTTAACTTTGACTTTTCTTCCTACTGGCTCATTGGCCTTAATAACTCGTGTGCTGTATTAAAGTACAATAATGAAATTAAAGATATTTTGCAAAAAGTAAGAAAATTAGTAAAATTGGTTTTGTTTTTTATCATTACAAACATAAAACTGCTGATTAACAATGACTTGAGAACAAGGTAAATAAGTGAACACAAAATGTAACAATAGAGTTTGTGACGTTTTGTAGGTGAAGTCCTTCGTAGCCTCATTAGACAGAATTTGTTTACTATAAAACACGAAAGTAAACACATTTTAAACACAAACAAATAGGAGTGCAAAAATACTGCCTCAAGAAATATATTCTATTTTAAGAATTCATTGTCACTTGACCATTGCAAGTAATAAAAAAGCTAAGAAAAAAAGAAAGAAAAGCTTTTGTCTTCTTTTCAACGGATATAAGTTTTTAGTGTGGCGTACTAACGAGCTGAGTCATAGACAAACACAACGAGCATCAAAGTGCTTTTCAATATTATAAGAGTAAAGCAGATCAATACAATTTATTTCATTTCTGTTATAATTCATAGTTGCTTTAAGAAATACTTCGTAAAGTAAGAATGAAGACACATTGTTTAACTTGGTTGTTACGGAGGCAGTTCACTCATGTGCGAGGTTATAATGCACACATTCACGTTTGTAGGTAAAGCTCTCAACTGATGCATTGATAACTCAACAACATCTAATTTGTTTTAACTCAAATTTTAATGTTTAATAAATCTAAATAATATACGATTACGTTAATTATGTTTCAAAATGAATTTGGTACCGAAATTCAGATAGCACTATTAAAAAAAGAAAACAAGTTATTCGTCTAAAGCACACATTTATTTTACACGTAAACTTAGAGCAAAAAACCTTCAAAGCGCAACTCAAGTATACCTTTACTGAGAAAAGTTTAGTAATACTGTAGCTCTTAATAATAGTGGAGTTATACCTGTAGAAGGACGGTCTTATTTCTTGAATCAGGTACTCCCACGTTCACAAAGCTGCGCTCCCAAATAAAAAGAAGTGTGCTTCTATTTCAAAAAACAGTGGCTCTCTACTACAAAAGAGGCAACGTTACCAACTCAGATGGTAAAGATACATAATATGTTACATATCTACCTATATTAAATGATAACTTTAGAGGGTCATCTCAGCTCCTTCCCCACAACTAAGAATAGAGTAACATTCTTTTACTTTCTCTGTTATTTTCATTGCGTTATATACTTGATTGAACCCTCAGCCCCCCTCCACCAGACTATAGCCCACCCTTATTATTTTTAAGTCACGCACTAAGCCTCCCTTAATATAAGGGGGTTAGGGCCCCTTAACCCTCTTATTTGTGTCAAACCACCTGGCCCTCCTCGATCTATCCTCATTGACATCCATGCGGCCACCCTTAATATTAGGTATAACAACTTTAGTTTATATATTATTAATTAAAGTAAAATTTTGAACTCAGCCCCGGTCCCCTAATGTTTTTTGCTACCCTCTTGGCCTCACTATAGCCACGTTTACGATAAGGTAAAACTATAACAGCTTGTTTATTTTTTTATTCAGTTGAATTTTTTATATAATCTTCTTAGTCCCATAACTGCATTTAACTTCTACTTTAAAAAATATAAAATGAAATTTTTTTCCTTTTTAACTTTATAAAATAAATTTAATTTTCTGTTGAGTATCCCTTGAATTCCTTGAGACATCATAACTAAATGGCATTACGTGCACTAACTTGATAGCTGTATATTATTTAAAAAAATTTTGTTAATGTAAATAATTAATAATGATATTTTTTTCTGTATAACTTGTTAGAAAATTCCCAAACTAACAATGAGGTATTTCTATGGCATGCTGATTTTTATTAGTCGTAAAAAGTTTTGAATTGTGTTATCACCCACGTGTAAGAATACGACACAATATTATCATTCTTAATCAAAAAACTTCAAAAAAGCTTATGGAATATTGAGATAGTGGACCTCGCCAAGTCTCACTGAATTTTTTGTCTTTTTTACTACTGTTTGTAGTCAATTAATTTTGCAGTACGCCTTTGTCAAAATCAAAAACTTTAATACATCCTTGATCACCTATGAGGTAACCTACAATAATATTACATTGAATCTCATGGAGCTTCCAAAGCCTACAGTAGCATTACATTTAAGTGCTCTAGCAGTTGGCGCAATTTTTGGAAATGTGGTATTATAAGAAAGCCAGTTTCTTTTAAAAAAAAGATAGTTTTTATTGAGTATAAATAATAATAATAAAGTAAACATAACTGCTACAATGACAAAATATAGAAGAAAACTTTTTTGTAAACTTTAACAATGATGATTTATTTGTAACAAATAGATATTCAAATTATTTTGTTATTTATCAATGGTAGTTTTTGTTATATTTATAGGCTACCCTAGATTGAGAAAAAAAAAAACATGTCTAAAATACGGTCCTTCATCTTCCTCCGTTTAATTTAAATTAAAATAATTGCCACTTTTGGACAAAAATGTATTCATTTCAAAAGCAGTTGTGACGTCGCAATTGATAAATTTAGAAAATGTAAGTATTGAACAACGAACGCCTACGATTTGAAGCGTCAATGTTTATAAAGAAAGAAATGTCTCGAGGGCAATAATCTTTTTTTTTAATGCAAAACAAGAGTTTTTTCTTAATTTTTTTTCCAGTGTTCATTCAAGGTAAGAAAAAAAAAATTTTATTTTGCTTTTTGAGCAATACTCTAAGCATCGCTAATTGTGAAGACTGAAGAATATCAATTTTTTTTTTTTTTTTTTTTTTTTTTTTTTTTTGTAAGACCAACATTGTTAAAATAAAAAAGAACTTCCTTTTAAAGTGGCATTTGGAATCCGACAACCTTCTGAATGGTAAATTTATAAAACAAAATAATATGTCTATACTACTTCTTAATAAAATTATTTTTCTGTAAATTTTAGAAAATTGTTAAAATTGCATAACAACCACTTATTTACAAGATATAAAAAAAAAAAAAAAAACCATTAAAAAAGGAACATTTTTCAAATGCCATTTTAATCGTCATCCAATAAAAAAATTACTATGCCTATAGCATTAAAAATAAATTGAAATTTCGTAATTTGTGGCACTAATCCATTAATACATCCATAAATTTTTTACCCAATTCCATTCATCAGGTCTTAAGAGCGCGCGGTGGCTCAGTCGGCTAGGTCGTGGATTGGCACGCGAGAGACCGTGGTTCGATTCCAGGCCAGTGCGACTTTTTTGGGCAAGTACCTCTGTGATCTTTCACAGGTGCTTTTTCACCACGCAATGTTCCTCAAGGAGGGCTTAGGCGACCTTCTCGCAGCAAAAATTGCCTAATTCCCCCTACCCCCCTTCTGTAATGGGAGGCCTCCCATTCCTTTCCTTGTCCCTCTCCCAAGTGCCAAGTGCCTTCAGTAGTGCCCATATTAAAGGAGCCAGACGTAGAGCACTGTAATTGAGAAAAAAAAAAAAAAAAAAAAAAAAACAGGTCTTAAATTCATCGAAGTTTCATAAGCAACAAGATAAAAGTAAGTACAATTGTTGTATTAATAATACGTTCATGTATAATACGTTAATACGGAAGGCTAACTACAAAAGAACTCTATTTTATGCGATTTAACGAACATTATATCGTTAATTTGACATTGTTGTAAGCCTCTGATTTGTGATGAATATTCGGACGATGTTTATTACATACAAATTAAAAATAATGTCTGGTGCTGTGCATAATTAATACATAGGTTTTTTAGATTTCTCCAGCTTACTGTCACTCTGCACCTTCGTTCACACATTGAGCCAACAGGAAAAAAAGTTCTGCCCTCCATGCAAAAATACTTGGCTGCCTGAGGACTTACAGTGATTTACTGGGGGCACAGTGTCTCCACCTGTGCAAAATTTCATTTTTCGTTCTCGATAAAAAAAACAATATACGCTTACATTTATAACTATAGGTATAGTGTATATACCTAACACGAGGTGAAATACACTTTAATATATAAAAAAACAAAACTCTAGGTATGGAAGTACATTGCATAGTTTTTTTTTTTTTTTGATCACCCACTTTGCAGAACATGAAAAATTTCAGATAATTTGTAATTAATTATATGTATTATGAATCGTTAGTATAACACCGTTGGTCAACGAAGAATTTCGCTGAATTATTCTTGCATAAATATCTTTTGTGTTTCATTTTCCGGGACATAAAAAGTTTTTATTTTTTCATCTTCAATTTGTGATAGTAATTAAAAAAGTTTTTTGTCATTGCAGCAAATATCAAAATTAAATTTGAACACAAGAAATTAAAGCTAAGAAAATAGTTCCAATGTGACAGGGAGTTTTTTTATGGGAGAAGTGGAACTGCATCGACACAGACCGCAGGGACAGCTGTAGAGTGGGACTCAATAAAAATTATTTATTAGACTTCTAATACAAAACAACCCTCCTTGCTACGTGGCTTTTGATCCACGTCTTAAACTGCATAAGCACATTACTTAAGAGTGAATCTAACAGAAGGATCATCGTACCTCACAGCATTTGCAAGCAAGCTCGCCAATAGTTGCTAGGGATGACAATCCTCACAAGTCCTTGGAAGTGTGCATGGTCCTAGAGAACTTGCACATATGACTAGCCTTTTTTCATAAGCTGCTTTTTTTTAACATCGCTACAGGCTTAATGATTTCCCTAGCTAATAAGACAACGTACTCAGCGTAGCATGTGTCAATACTAGCGTACACACCTCGTAGAGTCTTGCCTCTTTACTTTAAACCGGTTGGAGCTTTTTCTTGCCCTATTTTAACGCTTGTCTAAATATAGGACAGTTTTAAGGTGGTTCTTCACCTAACCCATTTACTTAAACTTACAGGGAAACTTGGAGGGATTGTTATTAAAGTTATTATGCATCTTCTCTTAAAATTTCAAGTCCCTTTATCAGGAAAATTTTTGAAAACAAGTCAGTCAAAAAATGCACTTTGAACATGTAATCTCATGTACGTTACTTTTCCATACTACGATATCATGTAATATCTC